TGATTTTACTGCAGAGCAGGGTGCCTGTGGCTAACAGAAACATTAGAAATTTCAAAGGAGCTTGAAGACAGGACTTCGTTCTCACCAAAGAAACACTGTGTGAGGGGACATCACACGACGCACGCAGGTACTGAAACATCACGATGAACCCCAACATATATATGCAGTTACCAGCTAAAAGAATCTGAATTTTGTTGAATGTTGTTGAATCCACAAAATAACCTGCTGGGATTTTGACAGAAATCATATTGGATCTGTAGACCGAGTTGGGAAGAGATGATTTCTGAACAACGTTGCCTTCTTATGCAGGAACATGGGATCTCTCCATCTGTCTGTATTTCTCAGTTCTCATCTCCAAGGTTCGGAGTCTTTCTCAGATGCGTCCTTTGCATATCTTGTTAAATTTGTGCCAAAGTCATCTGACTTCCTTTTTGGCTTATGGGCTCATGTGGTCTCGGCCCCAGTCCGGTCCTAGTATAAATCTACGTTTTTTCAAGTTTCAGTTTCTTAGGCACTATCTAAAAGCTTACTGAGTTTCGGATGTTACTTTTGCATCCTGAAGTCTTGCTATTATTGGTCACTAGTCCCACGAGGTTGCTGCTAATTCTTTAGGATTTTTGAGAGACAATTATGTTATCTGTGAACAAAGGTTTATTCCTTCCAAATATACACATGCCGCACCTTATCTTCTTGTTTTATTCATTAGCTAGGACTTCCCGTGAAATGTTGAATAGTAATGTGAGAGCATTACACTTACCTTGTTTTAAAAGAAGTAGGTGGGCTTTCATTATAATTTCAATCTTAGTGCTTTTCACAATTGTTCTTAACCTAAGAGTTATAATGAAGAAGCAATACTGCATGTGGGACAAAATGTTTATGTCCCATTTTGGTGTTTTAAAATTCTTTCATTTTCCTTTTAGTTTCTTTTGGTTAGTTTTAGTTAATTTCTCTTCTGTTGAACTCAAAAGAAATAAATTCCATTATTTTATACATAATTTTAACATGACCAGTTTTCATTATAGATGTTTATTTTTCTAAATGTTTACCTAGATACCCTATCTACAAACCAGGGAACTGAAATTAGGCAACTGAAAATGGCTTTTAATAGGTGAAAGACAGTGATTGATTTTTAACATTTTTCTTTATATTTGAATTTTTCATTTTTTTAGTTTTTATCATTTTTTTTTGTCTTTTTGAGACCGGTCTCACTATGCAGTTCAGGCTGGCCTTGAGTTCACTTTGTAGCCCAGGCTGGTCTCAAACTCGCAACAATCCTCCTGCCTCAGTCAGCCTCTTGAGTGCTGGGATTACAGGCGTGTGCCACCATGCCAAGCAGGTAAAGGGGAGGAGAGAGACCTGGGATAAGTACCAGTGGTTGTGAGATTCTTTTTCATGTAATGAATGTGTTCTGAAGTTGTGATGGTGGTAGCACAACCCTGTGAATTATGAACTGCAGAGTTCAGGTGGGTGAACTCATGCTATGCAGAGTATCTCGATGGAGATGTCTAAAAGGAACAAAGAACAGCACACAGCACTGCACAACGGAAGGAGCCAGAGACTCAGGCCTGGGCAGGAAATCGATTGTGAGTGGGGGCAGACAGCTCACCCCAAGATGAGACAGAAGCAGGAAATGATGTCCACAAAGGACAGTCAGAAGCAGCCAGGGAGGTTTTCCTGTTTTGCTTTACAAGCAAAATTAGCTGGAAAGCAGCAGAGTTTTGCAAAGATATAGTCAAAGAAAACTGTTGGCTGAGGTGGCGACACTGTGGAGGATATGCTATCTAAATCTCTCAGGTCACCTTCACTGCCTTACTGCAGTTGTGTTTCTGCAAAGCGAGAGACTTTTTCATAGTACTTACAATGCCCTCATTTTTCCAGGGGGTTTATTGGACCTGATCCCACTTAATTCCAAATATCCTTGTCTAAGACTCCTTGCATTCACGCCATCTTCAGCTCCCCACCCCAGGGAACTGTTCATGCTTTCGTAACTCTGTACCCCGCAACCTTTACCACATACAATGTCTGTCAGCTTCCCCTTCGAGTAACAGCTCTGGTCACTTTGTTGCAACAGGACTAAAGTAATGCACAAAGGCAGGGGCGTCAAGACCCTGGCCCTTCATGGATTGCTTTAGACCTTTTCTTACTTCATGCAGAGACCGAAGAATCTGAGTGGACATTAACTCCACTTCTATTTCAAATGATAACATTATCTCACTGGTACTTTAAGGAGCAATTTAAAATTTCTGTTAGTATACATTTCACTTATATTCATCACCATTACTTTAAAAACTTTACTGAGTAATCTGCATATTTCTTTCCGTCTTATAAAAACATTCAAATACAGACAAAATTGAAAGGATTAGTCAATGAACAATTTACACTTAAAGTAACATTTTACCGTATTTTCTTTATCAGACATTGGTTCTTTCTTCTACTGAGCCAAGAATCCACTTAGAAAAACTAAGTAAGCTACACAACTGTAATTCCAGCACTCTGGGAAGCTGAGGAAGGAAGATCACAAGTTTGAGCCCAGCCTTGGCAATTTAGCAACACTGTCTCAAAAAAACAAATAAAATAAGCAAGTATGAGAATGTAGTTCAGTGTGAAGGCCCTGGATTCAATCCCCAGTACCACAAATAAGTTTTTAAAAAAATCTTGGTGGTAGCTGCATACTTTATTCTTAAATGTCACTAGCTGTGTTAAGAGTTCAGTATTCACTTATTTTTGAGGTAGAATGCATCCTGATCTCCCAAAGGCCTCACCTGCAAATCCCATCCCAGTAGAAGTTTCAACATACGACGTTCTGGAGAACACAAACATCAGTCCATAGCAAATGGTGCTCTTAAGTCTGTGTGTTCTACGGTAGGACACACTGCTGGGACTTGGAGTGAGACAGCTAAGCCTCTGCGTCCTCCCAGAGGTGGGTACCACGAGAAGTTTGCCATCTGTAAAGCAGGGCCTCTAGGTCAACCATGTTTACCCTCTGACCTCAAACTTGCAGCCTTTTATAAGAAATAAAAGGTCTGTTTCCTAATCCATTCAGTTTAATAATGTTGACAGCCCAATTAAGACAGAACACCACTTTCCTCCTGCTCAATCAGTATGTCCGGAAGTAAACCATTATAATTTTTCTATCATATTCATTTTGCTTGTCTAGAATGTCCTATAAATGGAATTGTACAGTATCCAATCTTTTAGCTTTTTCCTCAACTGTGGAGTAGTCCACCATAGGACTTCCTGTATATTTATCCAATGTACTATTCATGGACCCTGTTATGGTTCGTGTCTGGGTGTCCCCCCAAAGCCTCGTGCGGTCACGGGGCAGGCTTTTAGGGTTTGATTGATTATGGGTGTGAGAGCTACACCCGCCCTGGGGTGGACAGTTTGCATATGTAAGGGAGAGGAAGAGGGTGCTTCTGGCCATTTCCTCCCTTGTGTGTGTGCTTGTTGCTTTTGCTATGTTCTGCTGCCATGAGCTGTAGCCCTCTGCCATGTGCCACTCTGCCTTATAATCTGCCAAGTATGGACTGAAACCTCCACAAACTGTAAGCGAAATAAACCTTTCCTTCCTTAATTTTGGGCATCAAGTATTTTGTCCCAGCAACGAGAGAAAAGTAACCAAGACAGACCCCTTACAGCATTTTTCTCTATTATGAATAAAATTGATGTAAATATCTCTGTACAAGTCTTTTAGTGATTTTCATCTCTTTAGTAAATACTCATAGAATTGTGCAGACATAGGTTGCTATATGCTTAACTGTATAACAAACTGCTAAAACTTCTCCAAAAGGATTGTGCCGGGATTTATATTCCCATAATCACGGATGAATACGCCGGTGGTTCTGTATTTTTGCAGATGTGGCGTGGCTAGCCTTTTTAATCATTCTTATGAGTGTGCGGTGGGATCTGGAATCATGATGACCTACAATGTGCTCTGCATGGTCACTGGAGGCCTAAATACATGGGCGGACATCCGGGGGATGAAGTCAGTCAAACACATCCCAGTCTGTTGAGAATCCAAATCCTGCCCTCCTCGCCCCGTCTTTCTTATTCACTGTTTACTCGCTCCAAACCATGACATGAACTTTCACAGTTATCTACCTGCCTGTCCCCTTTCTATACTGATTTCTTTAGGGCCAGCCTCCGAGGGGGGCGTGCGCCCGGCCCAGCAATCCCTGCACCCAGTGTTGATACACACCAGGCGCTCAGTGAACAACTGCCTAGGGACTGACCTTGCGGGGATAGGTGGGCTCTTAAGTAGGCTTAAATTAGGAAACTGGGCCCTTTAAGAAGAAAGGAAAGAGCCTGTGCTTCTCAGCAAGCAGCCAGCCGACGGCCTGTGGGCCTGACACCCGCCTAGCGCAGGCTGCCGCGCTTACCCCAATTCCCCCTAGCCCGGAAGACCAAACCTCAGCAACAAGCCCGACATCCAGGCCAGGGTCGACCCTGCGGGGCGCGGAGGCAGGACCCCCACCCCATAAAACAGGACCGCAGCCCCGGGTTCAGCGGCGCCCCGGCCGCGGGCGCCCCACTCCTCCGGGGTGGCTCTTCCACTTCCTCTGCAGTATCTACAAACTACCCTCGCTCTGCACCGCCTTCTGACCCCTCTCGCTTCCCACGACCGAGAGACACAGGCCCGGGGAGGCCGAGCCGGGAATCCCGCACACCAGACCCAGCGACGTAACAATTCACCCTAGAACCAGCGCCGCGCGCGCGAGGCGCCGCTGCCCACGTGCTCAGGGGCCGAGGGACCCGGCGCCCGCGGCGGGCCGACTGCTCCCGAGACCGCCCGGCCCCGGCCGCCCCGGCCTCGCCATCCTGACCAGCAGCAGCACACACGCGCAAACGCGGACAACACGCTGGCAGCGAGCCGGGACCTGAAGCCAGCGGGCGCCGCAGCGGACGGCCCCCCGCACGCTCTCCCGCACGCCTCTTCCGGGAAGCGACGCCGCGGCGCCGGCACGCTGGGCCGCGCGCTGACGTCTCCGCGCGGCGGGCCAATGGGACGGAGGGGTGGGCGGGCTGTCTGGAGGCCCCGGTTTCCGCTTCCGGGGGCTGCCTGTCCGGGCGCTTGGCTACGTGTCGCTGGGACCTGTGGCGGCGCCGCGGTGGGTCGCGGTC